CAGACAGATATATAGATAGATAGACAGACAGATAGATAGATAGATAGATAGACAGACAGACAGACAGACAGACAGACAGACAGACAGACAGACAGACAGACAGACAGACAGACAGACAGATAGATAGATAGATAGATAGATAGATAGATAGATAGATAGATAGATAGATAGATAGATAGATAGATAGATAGACAGACAGACAGACAGATATATATATGGATAGATAGATAGATAGATAGATAGACAGACAGACAGACAGACAGACAGACAGACAGACAGACAGACAAATAGACAGATATATAGATAGACAGACAGACAGACAGACAGATGCTGTATATAGATAGATATTTACTCAATAATTCGTTGTTGAATGCAATAATGAATTCCTAACTCCAAACTTTTAAATGGTAGCATATGTATGTTTACATATATAATTAATTATCATAAAATTTTTGCTCTATTTTAATTATAGATCTCAATAACAGATTTCAGCCACTATGCTGTTTTAATGCACCCATAGGTGTTGCAGATGCACTGCTCTGTCTCTGAGTTATGATGTCATGCAATGAGGTTCAGCCCTTATAAACTGGAACAGTTGCTTTCAGGACATGTCCCATCATGAGGTCAGGGGGCGTGACCTCTCTACTCTTGCCAATTAATCCGCGGATTAACTAGGAATACACACAGCTTGTTCCTTCCCACGGACCAGATTGGTGCAAAGACATTGTGCATCCACAATAGCGGATAATTATACTCTGCACATTTCCTGTCTTAAGACGGGCTTGTATTAATTGGTGAAGGGCATTTGACACCTGGATCCTCTGCTCATGCGAGACGACTCAAGTGCAGAAGCGAGCAGGCAGCTGTGAGAGCCATATTGGTTTTCGGGTGGTAGCCGAGCGTGCTGTGTTGTGTGTCACTGGTGTATTTTAGGCTTTTGAGTCATGAAGGTGGGACGATACTGGCGTTATGTCCAACAGTCCTCTTTGATATCACAGCCACGCTAAGGAAATAGCTGACGAAAACGTTTGTTTACACAGTTTTCGTCAATGATAATCAAGACAAATAATTTTGTTTAAAAAAATGGTTGACACAACAACAACACGAAAGTTTCACTGACTGCAACATATTAGTTGCTGACGCTAATGAAGAAAAAATATGGGCAAATGTGCTTGAGGTACTTAGGTGCTACTAACGTTACAGTGTTTTTGAAACCTAACCTCATTACGTTTGCATGCAAGATCATTTTATAGCATGCCAACCATAAAACTAGACTTTTTAAATCCATTGTTGGCTCAGTTTTTTCGCTCTTAATTGTGGTATGCTACAGTTGACCAGCTGTTGGGTCTCAAAGACCAGTTGTACCATAAAATCTAATTTATGTATGTTGTGTCTTTGCCCAAGATTTCCATTACAGTTTTGCATGCGGTTTCACATGCCAGGATATATTGTACTGGCGAATGTCTAGTAATGTGGTAATATACACCCATTTTTAAGTACCCGTTTACTGCCCTTTATACTGCTGCTACTGCTTATAGTAATAAAAGAAAAGAACTATATCTTTATCATGAACATCTTGTCCAGAAAGATGTGAAGTGCCTTTCAGGGCATAAGAAGCCAATTTCTACATGCTAACGTGCAAACAGCAATCAATTATTGAAATAATAAGTAGCATCTCTGTTTATTTATGATCTGAGAAATAATATAAATTAATCACTAATTTAGCTTTAAGTGCATTTTTTGATAAAGATACGGTGCCTTTGGAAGCATAAGATGCTCTTGGCTACATGCTAACATGTTAACAACAATTAAACTAATATCTGTATGTTTATTTGTGATCTGAGAAATAATGTAAATTAATCACTAATTAAGCTTCCCAGACAGCAAACTGACATTGAATCAACGTGGAAACGACGTCTCTCATGACATTGAAACAACGTTGATTTTGCTCATCGAATTAACGTTGAACCAACGTCAGACGCGGCATTCTTCAAAGCTAAATGAAAATCGAAAATTGGTTTGCTTTCATAACGTTGAAACAACGCGTTGATTTCAAGTTGATTTTCCGTTAGTTTTGAAAGAATGACGCGTCTGACGTTGGTTCAACGTTAATTCGATGAGCAAAACAATGTCAGATCAACGTTGTTTCTATGTCATATTTCCACGTTGATTCAATGTCAGTTTGCTATCTGGGGAATTCAAGTGCATTTTTTGACAGAGACACGTTCCTTTGGAAGCATGAGACGCTCTTAGCTACATGCTAACATGCTAACAACAATTAAACTAATATCTGTATGTTTATTTGTGATCTGAGAATAATATAAATTCATCACTAATTAAGCTTCAAGTGCATTTTTTTGATAGAGACACGTTTCTTTGGAAGCATGAGACGCTCTTAGCTACATGCTAACATGCTAACAACAATTAAACTAATATCTGTATGTTTATTTGTGATCTGAGAAATAATATAAATAAATCACTAATTACGTTTTAATTGCATTTTTTGATAAAGACACAGAGCCTTTGGATGCATACCCAGATAGCAAACTGACATTGAATCAACGTGGAAACATGATCTGACATTGTTTTGCTCATCGAATTAACGGTGAACCAACGTCAGACGCGTCATTCTTTCAAAACTAACGGAAAATCAACTTGAAATCAACGTTGTTTCAACGTTATGAAAGCAAACCAATTTTCGATTTTCATTTAGCTTTGAAGAATGCCGCGTCTGACGTTGGTTCAACATTAATTCGATGAGCAAAATCAACGTTGTTTCAATGTCATGAGAGACGTCGTTTCCACGTTGATTCAATGTCAGTTTGCTGTCTGGGTTTGGATGCATAAGATCCTCTTGGCTACATGTTAACATGCTAACAACAATTAAACTAATATCTGTATGTTTATTTGTGATCTGAGAAATACATTGATCATAATAAATTAATTTGTTTCAAGATTGCACAATAGTCCCACAGAAATAAAGTTACAAAGTCACAAAAGAAAGAGGATATGAAGAGTTCAGATGCAAAAGCCTCTAAATGCCATTTGAAATTTTCTTCTTTAATAATGATTTTTATCAAACTTGTATATTTAAGTTCAGTAATTTCACTTAAATAACAATTAATAGGTAATTACCATTGCCATTTAAGTGAAATTACTGAACTTAAATATACAAGCTTGATAAAAATCATCATTAAAGAACAAAATATCAAATGGCATTTAGAGGCTTTTGCATCTGAACTCTTCATACATAGCCTACATATTCAGTTGTGTCTGAATATTTGTATGTTTACATCAGATTTAGAAAGAATGACAATTTCTACAAATATTCCACAAACAAACATGGCCGGGGGAGCTTTATCCCTCTCTCCAGCGACAGTCCCAATACAGTTATTATGTTTTCAGCCAGAGAAACAGAGGAAGCTTATGTAAAACTGGAGTTGCTTTATTTAAAAAAAATAAAATTGCTTTTGTTAGCTGGTATATGAAACCATCTGACTGAAAAAGACATCCGAGTTGGCCCGCTTTGGACCAGTATATTCGGCGGGCCAAATAAACCTGGCCGTTGGCCTCGAGGAAGCCCAGACAAGGCCCGTAACCCTCCATGAATATCAGGAGTGCTTGAAACAGATGTGGCCCTGTTGCCAATTACTCACTCCAACTCTATATTCGTTAGACTAATGCTTGAAATACTGTGTGCATTGGGTGTAGATATGTTGGATTGTTCTCACATTTACTCTAGAGGTGTGTTCAAATAGCATATAGTGCCCTGTTAAGGACTTAAAAGTGTATTCAGCCAACTTATGTGAGACTCAAAATCAGGGTCAGAGTCACCTCAAACCACAAATGGAAGAAATCCATATCACTTCACGGGAAGTGGAGAGCTAAATTAACCCACACGTCATTGAACACTGTGAACTGGAACACAGCAATGGACTGTTAACATACAAATCTTTAAATAAACGTGTATTTGAGAAGAAAAAGAGCCTTTAATCTGGTTATTTTGCGGTCTAAAGAAAGAAGGGATAACTTATTTAGAGCTGGTATTGATGTGTGAACTTTACGATCTGGAAAGGCTCCTGTAAGACCATGTCATAATCTTAAATGTCTCCAGAACTACTATGGAGAGGTGTTAATCCCCCCAAAAGATTCAGTTGCACAAATTCAGATTTGAGAGGATCGGAGGGCCTCCCCTTGTTCCAGTTGTTTCATTACTGCTCATGCATGACATTGGTCTGTATTTGAAACACCAGAACACCTGAAATGTTGAAAGAATCTCCTTATTAGGGCCTGTACCTTTGAGAAACATTGTTGTTCCCTCTTTCTCAACTATTACAACTCTTCCTTGTGGCTTTGGCACTTACTGTATGTCAGCTTTTGGATTGGAGGGTGTGTGCTCAGCGTGTGCTATCAGGCTTGCACAGATATTTTGATTGATAGTAGTGCTTGCTAAATTTAGCAAGCATGTGAGCGCATTAATCAGTCCACTCAAGCTGGGACAGGGAGGTCATAGTTTCTGTACTCATGTCTAGTCAGGAAGAATGTTTACCAAAAAAAATTCCATTTCAAAAGCTTTCGCTAAAATAGTGACCCATGTAACCATTTTTGGTTCCTGTAATGTTATGGGAACATTTCGTTTTTGGGTTTTAGAAAGTTCCTAGAACAGAGCTTTGAGGATTTTTTTAAAATGCCAATAAGGTTTTATGGAAATATTAACCAATTCCATCCTCTACGAAGTACGAACACACTGACCTGGAGTTGCCCATGGCTAGTACATTTTTTATTTTACTCGCCAGACTTTTTACATTAAATACATGAACAATACAAATAAAAAGACCGTTTTTAGTCACCTCTTGTTAAATTTGGTTGTGGAGGGTTGCAATTACTTCAAAATCAGAATCAAATGGTCTGGGGTGTTTGCTGATGCCTAGTTTTTACTGTGCACGTTTTCTGTGGCACATGGTCATTTAATTGACAAAATGTTATGTGTGTCTCCACAGTACCTCAGGAGAAAAGCTTGAAAATAAGTCTGCTCCTCTGGGAGGCGCTCATGGTGGAGTGGGTCAGAACCTGCTGCTGAGTCCTGCAGGTCTTCAGCTGGCTCAGCTTCAGGCCCAGCTCACCCTTCACCGCCTTAAACTCGCCCAGACCACTAATACTGCTGCCGCAGCCTCCGTCCTAAACCAGGTCCTTTCCAATGTGGCCATGTCCCAGCCTCTCTTCAACCATCTTCGGGGTTCAAGTATGGCCCAGGCCCATGGCAGAGCCTTTCCGCCTCCTCCGATACCCTTCCCACCCCCAAATGCTGGCCTAGGACAACTGGTTGGGGGTGGCTTTAACCCAAATCCCACTGGTATCAGGCCCACTGCCTACAGTGGGGTGTCCAATCAGAAAGCTAGTCAGCACAATGATTTTGGCAAAAAGGCTGGAACATATTCGACGGACACAGACCGACGCTTGCAATTTGGATATCTGGGAGGTACGTCACTGGTCGCTAATAAACCATGTGATGGAGGACAGTATGGTGGAGCCACTACACAACCCAGAAACAATGTCCACAGCAATTTTCAAAGAGACTTCTACTCCAAAGAAACCCCAGTACAACAAACTTGTTTCATGGGAGGAAGCAACGATCAGAATCTGGGATCTGTTTCTTCATCAGCCACTAAGGAGCAATGGAAAGGTCCGATCAACTTGGGGAAGATGGATATGGGTAAAGGACCAGGTCCTGGTGGTTGGGTACCACCCGGACCAGGGTTTGTGGGTCAGAGGGCAGAGTTGTATAACCCTGAGGAACCCACAGCGGATCCTAAGTTACACTCTACATGTGGACCAGGGACTGGCCCACCCATCGGGCAGCAAGGGGGATTTCAACAGCAGCCACAGGTTTCCCAGGGGGAAAAAGGGGTGACCTTGTCGTTACAACCCCACCAGTTCAATGACTATCATGGGACGACACCTTTACACCTACCCCATCAGTGCACTATTTGTGAAAAGAAGGTTTACAACTTAAAGGTGAGTAGATCTGACTTGTTGGTTGAGATCAAAATAAATGGACCATTCACACCAACTTCAAAGATAGATTAGCATTTGCACTGCAAATTCAATGTGGTCACATTTGTTTATGACTACTCTGAATGTTTATTGGATAAGAAACCATTTTGAATTCAGTTTACACCTGTATTCAGCACTTTCCACTTGAGATCGAAACAACCAAGATTGGATCATAAACTGTTTTGGACTCACTGGATCCTGTTTAATGCAGAATATTGTGATTGTAAGAATACAAATCTCACAAGAATTTATGCTAGGCTTTGAACTCTGCGCATGGACTTAAGGTACCATACCTACATAAGTCGATCCAGATGTCTCAGCTGCAGCATCCAGTATCCAGAATTGAGATCCAGTTGGTCTCGACTCTGGCAACTGTTTTCCCCAGCTACTTCTGCAGAAGAACTGAGAGGGTTTTCGTGATACTAGGCTAAAATGGGCTCATTTGTTACACTAGGGTGTAAATGCTTTTGTGGCAGCTGGCATGTGTCGAGTGGAGGCAGGTTTAGAAGGGGGGAGGACGCAGTTGTTCGGCAGGAGTTTGTCGTAATCGCATTCGTTCTCAACTCTTGCTTGCCCTTACTCTACAGTGAACTACTAGCTCTCTAATTGGTCCAGGTTGTGGCAACGCCTGGGGAATCTTTCGGTCTCATAGAGAAGGATGGTATTGAAGTCTGTCTGACAGGCGTATCGTGTTTGTGTGTGTATTTGTGTGTGTGTGTGTGTGCTGTTTTCAGGACTGGGACCAGCATGTGAAGGGCAAGTTACATCTGCAGAACTGTTCGCTTTACACTGAAAGGTGAGTACTGACGAAAATACCATGTTACAACCTTCCTCAATTGATGTACTGGGCTGTTTTAAGTGTCTATCATGTTGATAAACCACCAACTCTGATGCATGGGTGGCTAATCATTGCTAACTTGGTGTAGAAGCAAGATATTTTTAAAGGGCTTGTTTGTATGTGGTCTTTTTTGATCCTTATTACCTACAGGTCATCGCCTGTGATACTCTTGTTAGGCGTTTTATGAGTACAACCAATCTCCATATTAAACACAGAGTTATTTTATAAAGAGTCTTCTTCCATATAGAGAGAGTTATGACTTGAATTTGAGCGGTGTCATAAGATATAGTCAGACCAGATGCACTGGGATTTAGGATCTAAATGCAGTGCTGTGCCCCTCGCAGCCCGCCGCTCGGAGCAGTGCACTTTCCAGTGTCTTCTGAAGGATGTCTCAACATGGCATTGAGTAACACTATGGCATACACATCAGCTGCCAGTCAAGGTAAGTCAAATCTCCTAATTTGTCCCTCGATGTAAGTGCTGAAAATTCAGGAGATGGAAAACTCTGGGATGTGATTTTAGAGAGGACTCTATTTTTAGGGCTGTCACTTCAGTTGCGGGAAATGTGGAGTGTCTGCAGTCTGGCACACACTTGAGTGACGTGTGTTAACACCTTTTGTTTTTGTCAGAAACAACTGGAAAAAAACTATTCACTGATCATTTTTTGTTTCACAAACTTTCTTTCTAAAAATAGCATCTTGTACTCATGGGGTGTAATCACAGTTTTGTCCAATATGTTGATCGCATTAGCATTAGCATTAGCAAGAAGCATGTGCTTGTTACTGTCATGTGACCTACCAGCTTCAGTTGCATAGCTTCACTTCCATTAATCTTCTCCCGTGGCTTCAGGGGATAGTAAAGTGACCATCGAATGCCCACACTAGAATCTCGCCAGAAGTATAGATCATCCGGAGACTTTTTGCATGCTGTTTTTCCAATACTATGTTTATCGTACTGTTTATCGCATACTATTACTGTACGTTCACACCGCCATCGACTTGAGCGTCAAAGAAGCTCTGGCCGCCCTGTCAAGGACGCTTGTCAAAAAGTACGGGGAAGCTTTTTGACGCTTTGAACATGTCACAACATGAAATGTAATAAACAGAAAAATCAAGCAATACATTGTAGATACCTTTTATAATGACTGCATTTTTATAACCGTTTTGGTCACATTTGGTCAGGAAAAAAATAGTTAGCTATTATTATTATTATTTGCAGCCAAATCGGTTTCACCATGAGCAAATTAATTGCATTCCCGCTTTAAAATGAGCGTTCGTAAATATTTCAAATAAAAGTTGCGCTCGTGCGGTCCATAAGCAAACAACGTTATTTCATAAATGATACGAAACCTGTAGGAAACCCATCAACGGCGATTATTAGCTTCTCTTCCATTTACTCGAAACTAATGTTTTGGTCAGCACAGTCTCACCCCAAAAAGTCATATAACTGACGTTTTGGGACGTCTTTTGACCATACGTCAATATTCGCCTTTTTAGGGCCCCCTTAAACGTCGGTAGATGGCGATCCCGGGCCGTCATACAACTGACGCTTCACCTTTAACGTCAGTTAGGTGACGGGTTAGGTTTAGGGTTAGGTTTAGGTCTGGGGTAGAGTTAGGATCCCATAACCTCATCTACCGACGTTAAAGGGGGCCCTAAAAAGGCGAATATTGACGTATGGTCAAAAGACGTCCCAAAACGTCAGTTATATGACTTTTTGGGATGAGAATGTGTTGTTTTGGTAGGAACGAAAGTTTACATTGTATATTTCTCGGGAATAAGCCAGCGTGAAGGACGTTTATATTCCGATTGGTTGCTGGCTTTTTGCCGCTGAACCGCGTCACAGCTCATTACCATAAAGTTGAGCTTCTTTCAACTTTCTGATTGACGCTCAAAACGCCCAAAACGTAACGACGATGGATTTGACGCTCATCGCAGCTGAGAAAAGCCAGCTTCCATTGAGAATGAATGACTTCCGGCCACTTTGGAAGCTTAAGTCGGCGGCGGTTTTGAACGCACAGTAAGGAAGTAATCGCAGCAATGTGTGTTTTCGGTTATGCTAACGTTCTTTCATTTGATTCAATGTCATATTTTTTTACTTCACATCATTTTCAAAAAATTATTTGGTTGCAAATGAAGTGGCTTTTATTTGGTTTTGTAGGCTAAAAAACACAAGCCCTAAATAAACTAAAATATTCCCTGCCCTAGTAAATACATCAACACACATACAAAAATTCTTGAGTCAAACTATTTCATGGGGTCTGACTTTACAGTGGGTCCTCGAGTAAGGTGATGTGAACAACCAATGGTTGTTAAAAATAGACCTATCCCTCAAAATGTGTTATTTATAATTAATGTTTTGACATCTGTCCTGTTTTCTACAGATGTTTCAACTGGAAGCGCTTCATATTTGCCTGCCACAGCCATGTCATTTCCTCTCTCAGGGCCGGGATTTACTTCAGGAGTGAAGGTTAGTAATGGGGAAAGACCCTTAAAAAGACATGGATTAAGACATAAATATTTAGTTAAACATTTAAATTCACATGCTATTTGCCGTTTGAGTGTTTCATTCTTTAATTCTGAGTGTTTGTTGGCCTATCTCATGGCATTGTTCTTTTAGCTCACAGGGTTTGTATAGAAGCCAAGAGTGTTGAGATACAGAGCATGGTATATTTTGGTCACACTATTTCAATGACTGACAGATTACTCAGTGCTTATTATATTATCTAACGGTTATTATTCAAAGGACTACTGAGCCATCTTTACAGCAAGAGCTCTTTAAGAACAGGTGCAAGTGATCAGTATTGTACAGCTCACTCGTTGCTTACTAGGAAAGGGTTTCATGTAAGCATGGTTCAGTAGCATCGATTGGGGATCGTTTTCGTTGTGAATATGCACATATGAACAGGGTCGACTGAGCAGTTGTTATGCGATCATGCTTTTGTAATGAGGTGGGAGTGCACCAGGCTAGACTGTTCAGGTTCAGTGTAAAAACTGAACACTTGTTTTTGTTGTGCAAGGACTTTATTTAGCTGTGGGATCAGCCTCCAAAATTAACATTTTGCCAGACCTGCCAGTGCTGAGTGATTTGAAAAAAATCTACCACCCATAAATAATACAAAGCACAGTTTAACTATGTTTCTTAAACACTATTATATATTATTGCAAGCATTTTTTTTTCTGCGCATATATGCAAAAATCCCCCCCAAAAAACATGTTCTGTCAATTGTAGCAACATATTGCAGCAAGCTTTTTTGTGACTTGGATTTCGGTTACTCAATAGAAGAACTTCTCGCCACTTAAAAAAGATTTGTTTTTATTTTTTTATATTGGCTTTCTAGCAAATAAAATCTGATGCTACATTTTTCACAGATTTTTTTTATTTTTTTTAGAAGACGGGCTACTGACATGAATCTCGAACATCTTCCGACTGTAGTCGCTTGCACTGTATTTAGTGTAATTGTAATTAGCGAATGTTACAAATTAACAGAACCTTTTTTAAATCTAATCTTACAACTTAAGAATTAATTTCTGATTCATTCATTCATTTTAATACTGTCTCACTTAAAAAACACACACAAAAACAAGAATAATAGTTACTTGTATATGTGAGTTCAGTGTACAGTAGTAAACCAAAGCAGGGCCATTTTGAGGTGAAGGAGTGGAGGCAGAGATAAACAGAAAGCAAGTTTCCAAGAGAGAAACACTGTTACAGCATTTGCAGATAACAACAGTATATGACTTTATCATCGAAACGACATTTTTAATCATTCCTTGGTTAGGAATAAGTGTTTTTTCTAAGTGCAATGCATTATAACACGCCTATTAAAGGGACAGTCCACCTAAAAATGAAAATTCTGTCATCATCATTTACTCACCCTCAAGTTGTTGCAAACCTGCATGAGTTTCTTTCTTCTGCTGAACACGAACAATTTCTACAATCGTTCTTCAAAACATCTTCCTTTGAGTTCAGCAGAAGAAAGAAATTCATACAGGTTTACAACCACTTGAGGGTGAGTAAATGATGACAGAATTTTCATTTTTGGGTGGAGTATCCCTTTAATGTATGATATGTTTTATGTGTCTAACACATTTTACTCTTTGAAGATGTACACTGTTATTCGAACGTTTTGGGTCAGTTGAATTTTTAGATGTTATTGAAATAAGTCTCACGAAGGATACATGTATTGGACCAAAAATACTGCAAAATTGTGATATATTATTACTATTTATTAGGGCTGTCAAACTATTAATCGCGATTAATCGCATCCAAAATAAATTTTTTTTTTCTTAATTATACATGCATGTGTGTGTATTTATATATATACACAAAATAATTATACACAGTGCACCCACATATATTGTGTAAACACAAACTTTTATTTTGGATGCGATTAATCGCGATTAATCGTTTGACAGCCCTACTGTATTTATTACTGTTTTTTATTTGAAATGTTTTGATTTATTTTGAAATCATTTAAAATGTAATTTATTAAGGGATCTCAAAGCTGTATTTTCAGCATCTTTACTCCAGTCTTCAATGTCACATGATCCTTCAGAAATCAGTCTAATATGAGGATTTGCATTTATTATCACTGTTGCAAACAGTTGTGATGCTTCATATTTTTCTTGATAAATAGGAAGTTCAAAAGAACAGTATCTTTTATATCAATTTAAAAGTCATTACTGGCACTTTTGATCAATTTAAAGCAAGCTTGCTGAATAAAAGCATTCGTTTCTTTTTTTTTAAATCTTACTGACCCTAAACTTTTGAACATTACACTGTAGAATTTTTTTTTTTTCACGATTTTTTTATCACAACATTTTTTCTTTTGTCAAATCAACTTAAATAATTTATTTAGTTGAGATAACTTATTATTTTGAGTTTCTGATAATTTAATCTCATTCATTGTATTAACTCACTTTTTCCATTTTTAGGCAACCAGGTTACTTACTTTTTTTAAGTTAAACCAACAATATTTTTTTACAGTGCATATGATAGGTACATAATATTATAATAGATTATAACTGTGGCTACAATTACAGACATATATTCATTGTTATAATGCATTTCTTCTACATTACTCTTGTCATCGGTGTATCTTCGGACAGTCTATTTTTTATTTCTTCTGTCATGCCCGTTCTTTGTTTGCGTGTAGTGTAGTAATGCGAGTAGCACTGTGACGGGCGGCTGTTTGCGTGTCCCGAGTGCGACTGATGGATCCTCACATATGGACGGCGTGAAGCATTGTTTTGGATTAGATGCTCTGACCTTGCGCAGACGTCAAACCACCTATAATTGAAACCATGTCCTGTGCAGGATGGTATTTAATGCACTTGCCAGCTTGTGGATTCAGAGACTTGCACAAAGATTCTTTATGCTGGTCGTTTTAGCCAAGTTATTTATGATTTAGTCCACTGGAGAAGCGAGTGGTTAATGTTAGCTCCTATAAAACCCACCTGTTGTACTGCAGCTATACGTTGGTGGCGCTTTAATAACTCTTTGTTTTTTTTAGCTTATAGGATGCAGAAACTCTTTTCAGTTTAAAAAATCAGTCCACAAAGAAAGGGTGTTGTATTTTAGGCATCGACAGATCAAACCGTCTGTCCGAGTAATCAAGATGTGTGGGCTGCTCCTGGATTCTTTGGAGGCCCTGAGGCTGGGAATTCGATTTCAGCCCACAGAATCGAAACCTGATCCTTGGGGATAAAGGATTTCTGACGGGAGGAATGCCAGGAGATCTGTGAAATTCAGAAAGTGCATGCTCTAAGTTTCAGATGAAGGCTTCAGGGCTTGTGTAAAGCAGTTTAAACCCTCTCTAGATAAGCAAACAGATGAGAATGCATTTGTCACATGATATGGTGCACTGGATCTCCGAAGAGCTTGTCTTTCGTTCTACTAATTTATGATGTGTTCATGACAAATCGCATTGTGTCTCAGTCGACATGCGTATTACAGCACTATGTATTCCACTGCAATCTCTTACAGTTACATAAAAAGATGTAATCAGATTGCCAATACGTTATTGTTTGTTTTCAAACCATTGCGATGACAACAGCTGAAAAATATCATTTTACTGGTAACACTGAACACATCATACCCAGATAGCACAAGTGTATTTGATGTAATATTTACGTCTGGAAGACGTATTTTTAAGAGTGTTTGCTCATCTGCAATACGTCTATAGGACATTACCTGTCAGATGTCAAACAGACGTTTAGAAGATGTCTTTAAGATGATTTAGATTGCATGTTAAACTGACATTTTCTGAACATCTATTTGACATCTGACAGGAAACGTCCTATAGACATATTGCAGATCAGCAAACACTCTTAAAAATACGTTTTTCAGATGTAAATATTACATCAAATAGGGTTAAATGCTATCTCATCACCCCAGATAGCACAAGTGTATTTGATGTAATATTTACGTCTGGAAGATGTATTTTTAAGAGTGTTTCCTCATCTGCAATACGTCTATAGGACGTCTCAGATGTCAAATAGACGTTTAGAAGATGTCTCTAAGATGTAACGATTTAGAATGCATGTTAAACTGACATCTTCTAAACGTCTATTTGACATCTGACAGGAGACGTCCTATAGACGTATTGCTGATGAGCAAACACTCTTAAAATTACATCTTCCAGATGTAAATATTACATCAAATAGGGTTTTGTGCTATCTGAGTGTAAATCATTAACGTTACATCTTAAAGTCATCTTCTAAACGTCTATTTGACATTTGACAGGAATTGTCCTATAGACGTATTGCAGATGAGCAAACACTCTTAAAAATACGTCTATTTGACATCTAAAAGGCTGTGCTATCTGGGTAAATGTTACATACTGCCCCTAATAGCACACGTACATCACCCCAGAGTGTATTTGATGTAATATTTACGTCTGGAAGATGTATTTTTAAGAGTGTTTGCTCATCTGCAATACGTCTATAGGACGTCTCCTGTCAGATGTCAAATAGACGTTTAGAAGATGTCTTTAAGCTGTAATGATTTAGAATGCATGTTAAACTGACATCTTATAAACGTCTATTTGACATCTGACAGGAGACGTCCTATAGACGTATTGCAGATGAGCAAACACTCTTAAAAATACCTCTTCCAGATGTAAATATTACATCAAATAGGCTTGTGCTATCTGGGACAGAGATGTCTATTTGATCTGTGTGTTTACATCTGGAAGACGTATTTTTTAGAGTGTTTGCTCATCTGCAATACGTCTATAGGACGTTTCCTGTCAGATGTCAAATAGACGTTTAGAAAATGTATTTAAGATGTAATGATTTAGAATGTATGTTAAACTGACATCTTAAAGATGTCTATCAGATGTTAGTAAACAGCAGATGCTTTCCAGATAATGATCTTTAATAGACGTCTTACAGACGTACGTGTGCTATCTGTGGAAACATTAATCTGTTTTCTCTCTTTGTTTGGAATATGCAGTGTTGTTGTTGTTGTTTTGCCATTCAGAAGACATTTAATTAATGGTTATCTAGTTTATAATTAATATCTATTGTCTTTATTTGCATATGTGACTTTAACCTTTTAAATGTTTTGCCAATCATTATTACATTTTCGGGTCTTTAGCCATATTCGGAAAATATTTTCAAAGCTGAAGAGAGTAACTTTTTGTGGGGTTAAAATGCTTTATCATAACTTAAAAGCACTGTGAAAACTTTACACTAAGGTTACATTTATTAAAAATGTTAAAACAGCTAATATATTTATAATTCTTAAAAAAACATTTATTAATCTTAGTGGATACCAATATTATTTATTGAACCTGCGCTAGCATGAACTAACAACAGTTGTATTCATATTTCCTACGTTAACAAAGATTATTAAATACTGTAGCTAATATTTTGCTCATTGTTACTAATGGTGTTCCCAAAGCATTTTTGTTTCTTGAAATAAAAATAAACGTTAATTTATTTCAGCTAGTTGTCAAGGCAACATTTCTCGTTTTCATTTAGTTTAACGTGATTTACTAAAAATAACTAAAACTGAAATGAAACCGCAAAAATACTAAAACTTGAGCTAAACTTGAAAATATAAATATAATATGGGTTTAAAAAATGAATACTTAATTATGCAATACTAAAATAAAGCTGCAACTTAATATGCGGAGACATATTTACGCGATTAGTTGGTTAATTTTACGTTAAAACCTTTATTGTTTATATTGGATGCTTTCAAAATATTGATTTGTTTGAGAATCCCATGTCAACACTGACTCGACCAATGGCGTTACTTTGGGGCGGAGCAACCTGTTTGGCCAACCAATGACAGACAGAAGGAGGTGTTTAGTGGAAACCTGTTTGAAGATGTTCTTCTTTTTTGCACTTCTTTCTAATTATGAGATTCTGTCTGTCTCTGCTTTGAATTTTACTTGCTTTGGTTAACCAAAAATCTTTTGAGGGCAGTTGTTGCCAGCCAATCAGGAGCAGCCACAGCCCCTCAGGGTTTCACTGCCACTGTCCCAGCACACAGAAGCCCTTCAGAGTTACGTTCTGACTTATATTAGCATATAGCTAAGGCATAAACAGCCTGTTTGGGGGGCTATTTTGGTATGTGTTTATGGAAGTAGTCCTTTTTGGCACATTTGGGAAAAGGGAAAGTCTGACAGGATGTCCAGATTAACATTGATTTACGGGCGTTTTGTCTCGGCTTTGAGATCCGGTCTGAGTCTGATGGTTGAATCATTTACAGGAACTTCACAAGTTTCACTACTTTGATTCTCACAGTCGGCAGTCACGATCATTAATCGCTTCTCACGCACTCTGCAGATCTCTGTGGTCCTTCCACTATAATACTGTTTGTAAATTGCAGTGTTAACACTGACCCTGCGCTGATGTGGACCGAGCGCCCCTCACACTTGCTGCTGTCAATCAAACACCCTGTATACATCACACCTCACTAGCTTATTACTGAGACAAAATTTTAATAATAACATAACTTAATTCTTTTTAGACATTTTTAGTATTTACTGTAGATTGTGCTATACAGGTATAAAAAGATAATGTGAAAATGGAATTTTTAAATATTGTTTGTAGAATGTGATGATGAGCAAATAAATAGAAATATTTATGTACATTTTTATTGTGGTATATGCTACTGTAAAATTGTGGCATCAATGTATTTTTACACAAAAATATTAAGCAGCACAATTGTTTTCAACATGGATAGTAATAATAAATGTTTCTTGAGTATCAAATCCTCATATAAAAGTGATTTCTGAAGGATCATGTGACACTGAAGACTGGAGTAATGATGCTGAAAATACAGCTTTGATCACAGGAATAATTTATATTTTACAATATATTCAAATAGAACAGTAATAAATAGTAATTATATTTTACTATTTTGCTGCTTTTGCTGTATTTTTGGTCAAATAAATGCAGCCGTACAGTGAGCATAAGAGACTTAAAAAAAATATATATATTTAAAAATCTTACCGACCCCAAACTTTTGAAAGATAATGTATATATATATATATATATATATATATATATATTTTTTTTTTTTACATTTTAGATCCCTTCTAGAATATTTAAATTATGGTATAATAATAATTATTATTAAATTTCTTATATCTATTTTAGATATTTTTTTGAGTCTTGTGTTTTTTGTACTAGGTTTAATTTTGGTGGTAACATTTTTTTTTGTTTTTTTACATATTAGAGAGATTTTCTGTAGTTTTTAATACATGGAATGTAATTTCGATTATCCAAATTTCTATTTGTTTAATGAGTTTTTTAATTAATTTAATATTTTTGGTATTTTACAATGGATTAATTAGCTAAATTTATTTAATTTAATTTCAACGAATAAATTAAAACATGAGGTTAATTTTTATGAGACGTTTATGATATCCCACATTGATATCTCAGGTTTAAGTTTCCAGTGCGCTTATGCTTTTAAATGATAAATCCCATCCTGCTGGTGTATGTTAATGTACGTGCAGACCCTCGCCTGCTCCACCAGTATTACCAGTAGGGGGCGTTAGTGAGCACAGCAGGGGCCAGGTGTTTTTTTAACAAACTGTTTCAGGTATAAAAAGATCACACATTTACTGCTAGCCACAAATATGTTTGTATCACATGATGTTTTCAAATGCTCTTAAACATTTCCCACATTGTTGATCAGATGAACAAGTGTGGATAATCTAAGGGACTGTATGTTTAACTGCTTCCCATCCTCTCTCAGTTTCTTCAGCGTAAGGCGTGTCCCGGGCGCGTGGTCCACATCTGTAATCTCCCAGAAGGCAGCTGCACGGAAAATGATGTCATCAACTTGGGGCTGCCTTTCGGCAAAGTGACCAACTACATCCTCATGCGCTCGACGCATCAGGTATGACTCAGCTTTCGAGTTGGGCAGAACCTCATTTCACCAAATACAACATGTTCCTGCATCAATGTCTTCCAATTAACCAATCAGATTTGATGGACAAGTTTAAAGTTTATGCCAAGTTTAGACTTACAAGCCTTGACAAAGGCTACTTGTGCCGAAACGTTGGTAATAATAAAATGTGCTCACGACTGTGTGCAGTTATATTCTCTTTACGCAATACGTTTAGACTTACAACCAGGGTTAGGTGGTTCTTCATCAGTGTTTGGATTATATTTTCGGACGGACAGGATTGTTGTTCCAGGATAAAATAAATAAATATGTCGACCCAGGAAAGTGTCAAACTCAATAAAGATCAGGATCCTGATTTGGACTATCCTCTTTGGAAGGACTTGTTTACACCACAGAATAAAAACTAAAAAAGTAATTGCGACTTTTTCTCTCACTATTCTCACTTTTTTTCTCTGAACTGCGTGATATAAACTCATAATTGTGAGATATACAGTCAAATTCTATATAGGGGAAAAATTCTTTTTTTCTCAGAATTGTGAGTTTATATCTATAATAATTGCGAGAAAATATCTTTATAACATGCAATTTTGTGAGTTATAAAATCAGAATTGTGAGGTGAACTCGTATTCCCGAGAAAGAAGTCAGAATTGCGAGATTATATCTTACAATTCTGAATTAAAAACTCACAATTGTAAGTTTATATCACATATTTCTGAGAAAAAGACAGAATTGCGAGTTTATAACTCGCAATTCTGACTTTATAACTCGCAATTCTGACTTAAAACTCACAATTGTAAGTTTATATCACATATTTCTGAGAAAAAGACAGAATTGCGAGTTTATAACTCGCAATTCTGACTTTATAACTCGCAATTCTGACTTAAAACTCACAATTGTAAGTTTATATTATGTATTTCTGAGAAAAATTCAGAATTGCGAGTTTATATCTTGCAATTCTGACTTTATAACTCGCAATTCTGACTTAAAAACTCACAATTGTAAGTTTATATCACATATTTCTGAGAAAAAGACAGAATTGCGAGTTTATAACTCGCAATTCTGACTTTATAACTTGCAATTCTAACTTAAAACTCACAATTGTAAGTTTATATTATGTATTTCTGAGAAAAAGACAGAATTGCGAGTTTATAACTTGCAATTCTGACTTTATAACTCGCAATTCTGACTTAAAAACTCACAATTGTAAGTTTATATCACATATTTCTGAGAAAAAGACAGAATTGCGAGTTTATAACTCGCAATTCTGACTTTATAACTTGCAATTCTGACTTAAAACTCACAATTGTAAGTTTATATCACATATTTCTGAGAAAAAGACAGAATTGCGAGTTTATAACTTGCAATTCTGACTTTATAACTCGCAATTCTGACTTAAAAACTCACAATTGTAAGTTTATATCACATATTTCTGAGAAAAAGACAGAATTGCGAGTTTATAACTCGCAATTCTGACTTTATAACTCGCAATTCTGACTTAAAACTCACAATTGTAAGTTTATATCACATATTTCTGAGAAAAAGACAGAATTGCGAGTTTATATCTCGCAATTCTGACTTTATAACTCGCAATTCTGACTTAAAAACTCACAATTGTAAGTTTATATCACACATTTCTGAGAAAAAGTCAGAATTGTGAGATATAAAGTCACACTTACCTTTTTTTTAATTCAGTGGCGGAAACAAGCTTCCATACTTTTGAGTGAAACGGCTTCTCGAACAAGAACAAATGTAGGGCGGGGCCTGATTTTGTCAATCGGGAACTGATTGGATGGTTGTGGTTTGCCATTGGTTGATCTCATGTGAGTGACAGGTGGCCCCGCCCTCACGCCAGTAAACGCATCATCAGAGAAGAAAAGAGATGAGCTGTATGAGGGAGAAGATAATATTTTTATTAAAGATTATGAGGGCACGTTAATATATTCCATACAATTTTTTGAAGTTTAAGTTTTTATTTCATGGTGACTTAAAACTTTTACATAACGTTAAATAACTGTTATACCTGTTATTTGAAACTAAGATAGCAGTGTCCTGAGTTGATTTATTGTACAGTTTGTTTGTTGTAAATACTGCCAGGCTGCAGAAATAGATTTAGGCAAGCACTTTATGTACTTCATCTTTACACCCTGACACCGATGATGTCTCCATCACCCCGATTTGTTAATCACGTTTGATTGACTTTTTGATTGGCGCTGTTAGTACCAACTGGATCCCATTCTGGGTCCAGTGCCAAGTTTGACATGTGCCTGAAATGCCTGGCATTGAATCGATCTTGTAACTGTCTTAAAGATTTATTACGCAATTAAAAAGAATATCTTAAAAGATCTGTTCGGATCCCATTTGACAGATTTTATGTTTCTGTCAGGCTTTTCTTGAAATGGCGTACGTGGAGGCGGCTCAGGCCATGGTTCAGTATTACCAGCTGCAGCCGGCCACAATCAACGCACACAAACTCCTCATCCGCATGTCCAAGAGATACAAGGAGCTGCAGCTCAAGGTACGTGTCGTCTCGCCTCATCGTCGTCACGTGACTCCAACAAACCCGGCTCAATAGTGTTTTGCTTTCTGATCCAGAAACCAGGGAAAGATGTCGACTCAATCATCCATGACATCAATTCCCAGAGAGAGCGAGATGAGGTGCAGGAGGCTGACAGGTGAGGATGTTTTATAAGAACTCTAAACTAAATTTATTCAAAGAATACATTTCACTATGATAATGTGTCTGTATGTCACATTTCCCCCCCCCAAAAAAATGTGCTCTGCTCTGGGCCAGGTTCAGTTCTTCATGGCTAAATTAGTGGCGTCTGACCAAGTAATGAATGTAGCTTTACAGCTCCCCCTGTTGGTGAACATAATCACTACGACTGCTCTGGGAACCAGCAGGCTATGATGGTTAGGCTTTTTTGCTGTGTATTTACTGGTGTTTTGAACATGCTGTAAAACGGGGACATTCCTGGGTTTCAGTTGTCTTGTCCTCTGAAAAAACCGGGGCGTCTAATCACCCTAACATAAGACAAACAAAGTGAAAGTGAGAGTACATTTGTGTTTTTAAAAAGATTTTTCTTTATCATTGTCTCAAATCCGCTGCTGGTTTGTGTAGGTACCTTCCAGAACGTGCAAGATCTCGCAGCCCAATCAGTCGTTCTCTGAGTCCGCGCTCCCACAGTCCGAGCTTCACTTCATGTAGTTCTGCACACAGTCCCCCGCGGCCTGACTGGAGCAACGGCATGGGGCCGCGCCGGGCCTCTTGGGACTGGACGTCCCATTCCCGAGGTGACGAGGACCCCCGTGAGAGAGACGACTGGAGGAACGACAAAGAGGAGAGAGCCAACGGGTGGCTGTCTGAGCGCAGGAAACCCTACCTTAAAACCGGGGACCGGATCAGCCCGCGGATGGGGCACGGGGACGAGCGGGGGAGGGACTGGTACCCCCGCGGGAGTCCTCTGGGTTCCTCCTTCTCCTCCTACCACTCCATAGATGACTTTTACAAGAAAGACTCACTGTACAAGACTGATAAACAGAGCAGGCCGCAACATCACAGACACGAAGGGAAAACTAAGAGACGGGACGGTGGAGACTATCACAGGCCGAGACACTCGGAGTCAGACGTGACGGACGACATCGGCTCCAACCGGATAGATGAAGACCGAGGACGCAGCAAGAGGTCGAGCCGAAGACGAGAGGAGGACGAGAAAGAGTCCCAAAATAAGGCACGTCTACACTTTTCACAGCATTTTAAGAACAACTGTAACACAACTACGTATAATGTGTCACTGAATTTGAAATCACACACTTTAGATACACACATCATTTAGATCATGTATTTTATAATACATGTTATTAATAATAAAATATTTATTTTAAATATTACACACTCTTTCAAATATATGAACTTTAAAACTAGGGCTGTCAAACGATTAATCGCATCCAAAATAAAAGTTTGTGTTTACATAATATAGGCTATGTGGGTGCACTGTGTATAATTATTTTGTATATATAAATACAGACACACATGCTTGTATATATTTAAGAAATGTTTTCATATATATACTGTATATAGATTTATATACAATTTATATTATATGTAAATATCATTTTTTTTAAGTAAATTATATTTTTTTCTTAAACATACATGCATGTGTGTGTATGTATATATATATATATATATACAAATAATTATACTCAGTACACACACATATATTATGTAAACACAAACTTTTATTTTGGATGTTATTAATCGCGATTAATCGTTTGACAGTCCTATTTAAAACTCTTTAAATATACTGCTTTATTAAACAATATTTCAACTCCAAATCCAGAAAAGTTGGGATAAACTTGATCTGATATAGACTTCCACCAATGTTTCGTTGTCACATTTTTAACCCTAAGAGTTACAAATGGCAAGTATGTATTAGTGGATGCATGTGGTGCGTTACTGACCTTCATGACCCTAGGCACAGTTGTCTTTACATGTCTTGTACAGCTGTCGTGAGAACGGCAAAGGAAAAATTCATATAGATTACGAATGAGGATTGCATGAAGATCAAATGAATAAATTATAAAACAATTGCATATTTATTCTGTGGAAGCTGGCCTAAATGAATAAACACAGAGTCAGACCTTTCTGATACCAACTAGACATTTGCTTGTAACACTAATACCAGAATAGATTAAATAGATTTAAAAAAAACTATGATTCCCTATATAATTCTTTGTTATATATTAAAAGGAGTGGAATGTAAATGATCCACTTCAAGACAATATTTGAATAACACTGCTTTTTTTAATGTATTACAGAAAGAAGAACATAGAGCAAAAGAAAGATCAGTGTCTCCTCATAACAGCAAACCTGCAGAGTCCTCAAAGTGTGAAAGTGAGGTAAACACACACATTCACATAGACATAAACAGTGTGCCGCGTTTTAATTACGGTATGCCTGTATTTATTTCTTCCCTAAAATTACGTTGCTAAAATTAATAAATATAATAAATAAATTGTGATTGGCATTTCATTAATGTCTAGCTTGAGCAGGAAAGTAACCAAGCAACATATACAGGGTTTGATGTTAACACCCGCCAACCTGCAAAATGCAGGTCGATTTCAGCAGTGGCGTGTAACGCAGTCACTCCTACTAGCCATCATGGCGTGTTAAATTTTATATATAGTATAAACATTTTTGTCACATTTTGAAGTGTTGTCACAAATATGGATTGTTCGCTACACATATTGATACTGAAATATCTGAAACGCTTCCAATACTAATTTTCCACAGATACACGATACCAGCTGCTCTCTCTCTCTCTCTCTCTCTCTCTCTCTCTCTGACAGTGAGTTACACACAAACCTGCCTCACCTCACTCACTCGTTTCATTTGCTCCAGATTGATATTGTTGCCATTACAGGTCTTGAATTTCCAGTGAATATAAATCCTTAAATCAGTTTCAGAGAAAGAAAACCCCAAGTCCATTTCAGTGAGTGAAATTGCAGAGTCCATTACAGTGAGTGAAAGTCCCAAGCTTGTTCCGATAAATAATATTCTCAAGCCTGTTCTTTTGAGTGAAGTTCAAGAGCCAGTTTTCCAGAGCCCGCTGCAGTTCATGAATCCAGTCCAGAATTTCTGCATTAACCCCTGCCCAAAGGAGGAGGCTGAGGAAGAAAAAACGGCCCTCTGCATGTCCAGCCCCTGAGCTCAGTCACGAGCCCTTTCCAGCCCCTGAGCTCAGTCACAAGCCCACTCCAGCCCCTGAGCTCAGTCACAAGCCCACTCCAGCCCCTGAGCTCAGTCACAAGCCCACTCCAGCCCCTGAGCTCAGTCACAAGCCCACTCCAGCCCCTGAGCTCAGTCACACAAGCGCTCTCCAGCCCCTGAGCTCAGTCACACGAGCCCTTTCCAGCCCCTGAGCTCAGTCACAAGCCCACTCCAGCCCCTGAGCTCAGTCACAAGCCCACTCCAGCCCCTGAGCTCAGTCACGAGCCCACTCCAGCCCCTTAGCTCAGTCACGGGCTCTTTCCACTCCCTAAGCTCAGTCACGAGCTCCCTGCAGCCGCTGAGCTCAGTCACAAGCCCACTACAGCCCCTGAACTCAGTCATGAGCTCTCTGCAGCCCCTGAGCTCAGTCACAAGCGCAAGAAACGGCCCTCTGCATGTCCAGCCCCTGAGCTCAGTGATAAGCTCGCTCCAGCCCCTTAGCTCAGTCACAAACTCTTTGCAACCCTGAGGTCAGTCACAAGCTCTCTCCAGCCCCTGAGCTTAGTCAGGGGCTCTCTCCAGCCCCTGGGCCCGGTCATGAGCGCTCTCCAGCCCGAGCTCAGGCACGAGACCGCTTCAGCCCCTGAGCTCAGTCACAACCCCTCTCCAACCCCTGAACTCAGTCACAAGCCCATTCCAGCCCCTGAGCTCAGTCACAAGCACTCGACAGCCCCTGAGCTCAGTCACAAGCACTCGACAGCCCCTGAGCTCAGTCACAAGCACTCGACAGCCCCTGAGCTCAGTCACAAGCGCTCTCCAGCCCCTGAGCTCCACTACTCCAGGATGCCCGTCCTCCCTTAGTTTTCATTGGGTTCAGTTTCTGTTTGCCTGTTTGACAGTTTTCCTGTGTGTTTAACTGATTGATCTCTTTTGTGTACTCTGTATTTAAGCCCTCAGTTTGAGTTGGTTCTTGGTCCTGTATCATCAGCGTGGTAGTGTTTCTCCATGTTATTCTCCTGTTTCTTGTGTTTGAAGTTTAATGACTATTTTGTTTATTCCTCCGTCATGCACTTCACTACAGCCACCAATCTGTGACAAAAACAGTTGTGCTTCTTAATACTTTTGTGGTGATACATTGCTTTCATTCAGGATTTTTGGAGTTCGAAAGAACAGCATTTATTTGAAATAGAAATCTTTTGTAACATTATAAATGACTTTAAAGTCTCTTTCGATCAAATTAATGCATCCTCCATTAATTTATTGCCAAGGGACTGGAAAGTGGAGATGATGGAGAGGAGGAGAGCTGGTATCCTAAAAGCATGGAGGAACTGGTGACCGTGGATGAAGTCGGAGGTGAAGATGACTCTATAGTTGAACCTGATCTACCTGACCTTCAAGAGGAGGACCAGAGAGTTGAGCCCGTTCTGTCGGCGACAGAGAGCCCTAAACCAATTGCAGAAACCCCAACAAAAGTTGAGGACACTGTGGTGGACCCTCCTACCCTTCCACCACTGGATTTGGTCCCTGAGGAAAGCTCTGGAGGTGCTCAGTCCTGCCCTGGAGAGACCCCCCTGAAGTCATCTGTCCCAGAGCAGCCGGTCTCTCAACTCAACCAGTTCCCATCCCACGAGTTCAAGAGCGCTTTGGAGGAGACATGCACTGCCACTGATATGGATACACAGACCAACACAGCCACACCAGCTGGGCCTCCAAACCACAGCAGCACATGTGAAAGTGGAAAAGTGACAGACTTGAGTAATAACGAAAAAAAGGAGGCAGAGTTGGACAACAAGGAGCCATGTCTCAAACAGGACAGTCAGAAGAAAGGTATCCACAGTCATATAAGTTTGTCAGTAATGCATATATAAACCCAGTTTTGGGGCGGGTTACTTACTGATACTACTAACACATAGTTCTTAACAGTTCCTCATAACTACGGTAGCCTTTATGTAGCTCGAAAGGTAGAGCATAGCACTTACAACGCTGTTCATAGGTTCGATTCCCATGGAGCAATAACTGATCAATTGTGTGCCTTAATTGTAATGAATGTCGCTTTGAATAAAAGCATTTGCCAAATGCGTAATTGTTTGTTCAGATTCACTGGCTGAGTACTTCAAACCATTAAATCACGAGTGGGTTTGAAAAGCGAATCCTTTTGACTTATTAAAAAGAGCAAGTTCTTGAGAATCATTTGCCTGTGAATCGGACATCACCACTTGTACCATGTTCGGTTTTGCATGTACTCGAAAGTAACTTAACGACATATCTGCCGAAACCACATTTGGATTTTTTGTTGCACTCTGGAAAGCTGCTAAAATTTGTTTTGATTTGCCAATAAAAAATTTTACTTGATGACACATGCATTTTTGTTGTGTGTGAAAGCTTTGACATTTTGATAATAACTAGGGCTGTCAAACGATTAATCGCGATTAATCGCTTCCAAAATAAAAGTTTGTGTTTACATAATATATGTGGGTGCACTGTGTATAACTATTTTGTATAAATACACATGGATGTATATTTAAGAAAGTTTTTTTTATAAATAAAATATTTATATTTATATATAATATAAATTATTTATAATTCTATATACAGTATATCCATGAAAATATTTCTTAAATACACACAAGCATGTGTGTGTATTTATATATATAAAATAATTATACTCAGTGCACCCACATATATTATGTAAACACAAACTTTTATTTTGGATGCGATTAATCGCGATTAATCGTTTGACAGCCCTAATAATAACTTTTGACAAAGGCAAGTAAATGATGTCAGAATTGTCAAAACCTATTTGTCAAAATGTTTTTTTTTTTTCGTACAAAAACTGTGAAATTCAAACTCATTTTGTAGAAGCTGCATTTAAAATCTACTTGATATAAAATCTTAGAGGGCATTTTTGAACATTTTGCGGCAGTTTAATGTGATTTACAGGCTGTAGATAAAATAACATGTGCTTAGACTCATCATTCCACCTGCTTTTCTGTTCTAGATATCCCCGACTCATTACCGGCCCCTTCACCTCAGGCGACAGACATCTGTGCTGCGGCACCTTCTCAGGATCAGGAGAAAGCCATTAGTGAACACAGCATACCGTTGGGTACGTCCACCAAAGTCAAAAGATTCAAGCACATGACATAAACGCTGTTTAGTCCTGAAGAAGAAAGCATGAGCAATAGTAGCTGCGCTTTGAGCGGCTCTGGCTGTGATGTAGGCTCTCAGTGGGTAACTGAAGCCTTTAAGGCCAGTTGATGTCAGAGGAGCATTTGTCATCCTGTTGAGTGAGGTGTGAATTGCACCCTCGAGGCCTGAGCTTGTGTACTCATTACCACACAGCTAACGCACTTGATTCCCTCAGAAGAGCTGACTTTACACCCCTGCACACACACAGTATATGAGAATGTGGCTCAGAAAATGTATCGGTTTGGTGTTGTTCTGATTTCTGACTGGTTTTGTTGTTTTGGCAGGTGTGGAGTTCATTGTGCCAAGGACGGGATTTTATTGCAACCTGTGTGGCTTGTTTTACAACAGCGAACAAACAGCCAAGATGACACACTGTCGGAGTACAATTCACTACAGGAACCTACAGGTCAGAAATACTAACATGCAGTCTTCCTTTCTCTTTCCGTTAGAATATGAATGTTTTCTCTTTCTTAACCTTTAAAGTTAAATGCAATTTTACTGCTTTGTCACCACGACAATACAAAACCATAAACAACGATGATTTAAACAGCTTTAACTCTTGTGCGGTGTTGAAAATAAAGCTGAAATCAAATAATATATAAATATTAAATGAAAATTTAAAATGTTGGCAATAAACTGAAATAAGTTGAAGTTGAAACACTAAAATTATTTACTGAAAAGTAGGGCTGTCAAACGATGAATCACGATTAAGCGCATCCAAAATAAAAGTTTGTGTTTAAATAATAAATGTGGGTGCACTGTGTATAATTATTTTGTATATCTATAAATACACACACATGCATGTATATTTAAAAAAAAATGTAATTATATATAAAATATTTATATATTGTATAAATATATATATACAGTATATGCATGAAAATATTTCTTAAATATATACAAGCATGTGTGTGTATTTATATATATAAAATAATTATGCACAGTTCACCCACATATATTATGTAAACACAAACTTTTTTGGGGATGCGATTAATCGCTATTAATCGTTTGACAGCCCTACTGAAAATAAATAAAACTGAAATAAAAATGAATGAAAGCGACTGTAAATAATATTATTTATGCAATATTTGAGAAAAAAACAACAACTAATAAAACGACAAAAACACATAACCAAATGACAAAAAATTCAAACAAAATTAACATGAAAAGTAAAAATATACAAAATAAAAGTTTATACGAAATAATATTCCAAAAATGTAATAATAATGATAAAATAACAAAAAAATCGTTCCTTAAAATCTCTTCCCTAACAAATGGATTCACAAAAAATTAGATTAGCTAAACTACCGACTAGCTAACTTGTACATGGTGGAAGCAACTCGAATCAGTGAAGTGTTTCTGAAAAACAAGACTTTCTAGCAGAACATCAGTGTTGGGAGTAACACATTACAAAAGTAATACATTACAGTAACATATTACTTTTTGCTGTAACGCAGTAGTGTAAGGCATTACTAATCAATTTTCAGTAATATTTTACTCGTTACATGTTCAGTGAGGCTTGTATTACAGTTGTATTACAGTGCATTGTCTGCTTTTACTTCTTAAAGGCAACAGACTATGTGAAAGTTTTAAAGCAGTCTTTTAGTGCCAGTTCAGAGCGGTCGCGTCTGTAACATTGTTTTTTCCTCATAAATGCGAACACGAAAACTAAAATAAAATGAATTTTTTAAGTTTTATGGAGACTGGAGAGCCAACCCTTCCTCATCCGATTTGCGCAGTGTAATTAACAGAATTACAAAAAATATATTTTGCCTCCTATTTTTTTGTCACGCATGAATGTGTGTCTTTTCCCTAATATTAAAAATAAAACATAGCCTGATATTTGTCTAATGTCTGGAGTCCTTTAAGGAAGTAGCCTATATACGTTTCAATACATGTATTTTCTGAGAATTTTAATTTCAAGTTTTGACTGCAAATGTCATGTCCATAATGCTGGACTTTCCCAATTTTAAATAATTTATCCTCAACTAGTTTTGTGGTGTAGGTCTACGTATTTTATAATGTTAACTTCAAATAATACTGATAGCCTAATTTAAGGATAAGGCAGCATTGGATCTGGACGGTAAGGAGAATAACGCTGGAGTTGGAAGAAGTGTGTCGCGATTCTGTAGGTTCGTGGATCTAAATCGTGTGGCGAATCGCGATTTCGGGTTCATATTGAACATTGTTACAGCCCCAAAGTTAAGTTCTACTTAGTTATTTTGGTGAAAGTAACTCAAAAGTAATACATGAGTAATGTAACGCATTACAATTCTGGGACAGTAATATTGTAAGGTAATGAATTACTTTTAAATAACAGTAACAAGTAATACCTAATGTATTACAGTTTGGAAGTAACTTGCACAACACTGCAGAACATATATACGATGAGCTAAACTACAGTCTCACTAACTATGGAAGTGGACAGAGTGGACTGAGACAATCACTTAACAGAGTGTATTTGACTATTGCTCTCTTGGCATTAAAGCCACTTGCAAACAATGTGAAATTCAAACATCGATGTAGCATTTGGTCACACTACACTGCTACTTGTTGGAAATTGTACCTTGTTAGTGTTACTGAAAAGGCTACACTTACTTACTCACCACCACTGGTGACGGCAATGTAAGACAGACTGATCTAAGGAGCCCGGTCCTCAGGGTGGGATATGGTTTCTCATTAAAACGCACACATACAGACAGACGAACACACTTTCCAACACAACATAGTTGAGGCGGCCCGGAGCCGGACATTCCCCGTCATCATCACAGTCCGACCACAGCCAGTTGTCACGTCTCTCACACTCGAGCGGTCGGCCAAACAGCGCCACCTCATACTTCACTTCTCCGGCTGGAGGTCTGCCAGCTGTGTTGAGTTTACAAGAACTACAGTGAGAACTCAACACCAGAAGAGCACGACAGGTGAAACCCAGCGAGAGAGAGAGAGAGACTGTAAACACTACAGGAAACACCTGCTTTCCTCCCACATTTTGACCTTCTTCTTTTTCAGCTCTACTTGTTTCACTGGTAAACAAGTACGCTTTTTGGTCGGACTCACATTTGCACGAGTTTCTTCGACTAAAGGCACTTTTATGTCATTAAAACAGACCTCTACTTGCCTCAAAGTCCATACTTGTCAACTCAATAGTAGCACTTATAAAATGTGAGACAGTTTTGTCAAATTATGAAAAAAAGTGCGTCACTATTATTTAAGATGACTAAATTAGGATTCATAAAAGCTATAAAATTAGTCTTTTTTGTCATTTTATCCACTGTTGGATATTGTCAGTGGATAAATTACATAAACGTATGGGTTTGAAAATTGTATTTTAATAGAGTTACTTCAGTGTAACAGTCAGATGCTGCCAGTCAGCCATTTTAGTCAGAGAAACCAAACTGTTGCTCTTCAAGGCTGAATGGTTGCCCTTTAAAAGTAAACCGACGTTTGTGTAATTTAATGGGGGGGTTGTTTGTGTTTTTATAGAAGTATCTGTCGCAGCTGGCGGAGGAAAGTCTCTTGAACTTCCACACCGAGTCGCCAAAAACTGAGTGAAGCTTACCTGAGACTGCCATCACTGTTGGGACACACTGAGTGAGACAAAGCCATGGAGAGACAGAGACACACAACACAAAGAGGAAAGGAACGGGACACAAGGAGAACTGGAGCAATTGGATACTTTGTGTACTCTAGGTCATAGCAATGTGAATTGAATTGTGAAAAAAAACATTTTTTTTAAAAAAAATATTATATTTTAAAGGAATAGTTCACTGGAAACATTTTAAACTTTTTTTATGCTGCTATTTTTCTGTACAATGCAAGTGAATGGGGACTTCTAATTTTAAAAGCATCATAAAAATTGGATTACAATGGATTAATCTGGATTACATGATCAGATTCCTAAAGTTAAAAACTTGTAATTAGATTATATTACATTTAAAATACTTGTAATCTGACTACAGTTACTTTTTATTGATTACATGATCATTTAATCACAAAATGGCAGTAAATTATTCATAATTCAATGAGTATTCAATTCAAATCACTTTATTCATCCCCAAGGGGCAATTTAAATGACATAAAGAGTAGCATATATTGAACTACACACAGTTCATCATTAATAAAAATAAATAAATAGTTAAAAAATAAGAATAGAAAGTAGATAGGATGAGTACCTCAGTCTATTTCATGTTTTAGTGCAGTTCAAAGTTAGTTAATTAGTATAATTCTCCCTAATAACTAATTTAAATTTTCTTTTCTAAAAAGGCCTATTGATTCAGAAATTCTTCCAGTTTTGTGGAATTGCACACACAAGAACAGCCACTGGAAAATTGACCACACCATAAACAAGTGTAATATTTTTTAGTAAGTGTTCTATTTTTGTTTTTATTTTATTTGTTGTTAAATTTACTTCACGTTATTCTATACAAATCAATGTGATAAATGAGTTAGGTCAATAAAAGGGATGCAGGATATAGACCCCTTTAATGTTTGTACACATTGGAATCCTCTGTTGGGTGCGCGCGCAGCATGGGGTCAGAAAAATGGCGCGGCTAATAGACCGGCATGATATTGTGTCAAGTTATGCACTGTCTTTGAGGTCTTCACGGGTCCAAAAACTCATGCCCGACCCGAAAGAGACCCGTAATGTGCTACACCGAACCGACCCGGACCCGTCGTTCATTTCCAAAGTTGGACCCGGACCCGTGCAGACCCGAGAAATGACATAAACGTACGAGAGTGTCAGGCAACACGTTATATTCGCTGATCACCCGCGGCTGGCTGGATGAGCGTCCAGCAAGCGTCTGCAAGCTGCCAGTCGGATCACGGCCATTTGACTAATTTAATCGGGACAACAGTACCCAAAACACCGCTGGCAGCTGCCAGTCAGTCAACACACTCAGCCACTGGCAACTGCCAGTCAGCAACTGGCAGCTGCCACTCAGCCACTGGCAGCTGCCACAGTCAGCAACTGGCAGCTAACACTCAGCCACTGGCAGCTGCCACAGTCAGCCACTGGCAGCTGCCACAGTCAGCAACTGGCAGCTGCCACTCATCCACTGGCAGCTGCCACTCATCCACTGACAGGTCACGTGACCTGCCAGTGGCAGCTCCTGCCAGCCAGTTGAAGATTGAACCCCTACTCTGGCAGCTGCCAGTGCTTGTCTGTCAGTCTGCCTTTGGCAAGTTTCAGAAACCATTAATTTTTGACAGTTTTTGTGTTTTGTGTTCCTCCCTTTATAGCTCATTTATTATGTATCTGTTGAAATTATTGTTATTAGTAGTAGGATCCCAATTTAATAGTCAAATGGCCGTGATCAGACTGGCAGTACAGACGCTGGCAGCTACTGGCAGCTGCCACACTCAGCCACTGGCAGCTGCCAGTCAGCCGCAAGTCAGCTGCAGCATTATACATTATACCACTCAGCCACTGGCAGCTACCACTCAGCCACTGGCAGCTGCCACAGTCAGCAACTGGCAGCTGCCACTCAGCCACTGGCAGCTGCCACAGTCAGCAACTGGCAGCTGCCACTCAGCCACTGGCAGCTGCCACAGTCATTCACTGGCAGCTGCCAGTCAGCCACTGGCAGCTGCCACAGTCAGCAACTGGCAGCTGCCACTCAGCCACTGGCAGCTGCCACTCAGCCACTGGCAGCTGCCACAGTCAGCAACTGGCAGCTGCCACTCAGCCACTGGCAGCTGCCACTCAGCCACTGGCAGCTGCCACAGTCAGCAACTGGCAGCTGCCACTCAGCCACTTCGCAGCTGCCACAGTCAGCAACTGGCAGCTGCCACTCAGCCACTGGCAGCTGCCACTCAGCCACTGGCAGCTGCCACAGTCAGCAACTGGCAGCTGCCACTCAGCCACTGGCAGCTGCCAGTCAGCCACTGGCAGCTGCCACTCAGCCACTGGCAGCTGCCACAGTCAGCCACTGGCAGCTGCCACAGTCAGCAACTGGCAGCTGCCACTCAGCCACTGGCAGCTGCCAGTCAGCCGCCAGTCAGCTGCCAGTCAGCAACTGGAAGCTGCCACACTCAGCCACTGGCAGCTGCCACAGTCATTCACTGGCAGCTGCCACTCAGCCACTGGCAGCTGCCACTCAGCCACTGGCAGCTGCCACACTCAGCCACTGGCAGCTGCCAGTCAGCAACTGACAGCTGCCACACTCAGCCACTGGCAGCTGCCACAGTCATTCACTGGCAGCTGCCACAGTCAGCCACCGGCAGCTGCCACAGTCAGCAACTGGCAGCTGCCACTCAGCCACTGGCAGCTGCCACAGTCAGTCACTGGCAGCTGCCACAGTCAGCAACTGGCAGCTGCCACAGTCAGCAACTGGCAGCTGCCACTCAGCCACTGGCAGCTGCCACAGTCAGCCACTGGCAGCTGCCACAGTCAGCAACTGGCAGCTGCCACTCAGCCACTGGCAGCTGCCAGTCAGCCGCCAGTCAGCTGCCAGTCAGCAACTGGCAGCTGCCACACTCAGCCACTGGCAGCTGCCACAGTCATTCACTGGCAGCTGCCACTCAGCCACTGGCAGCTGCCACACTCAGCCACTGGCAGCTGCCAGCCCTTTATAGCTCATTTATTATGTATCTGTTGAAATTATTGTTATTAGTAGTAGGATCCCAATTTAATAGTCAAATGGCCGTGATCAGACTGGCAGTACAGACGCTGGCAGCTACTGGCAGCTGCCACACTCAGCCACTGGCAGCTGCCAGTCAGCCGCAAGTCAGCTGCAGCATTATACATTATACCACTCAGCCACTGGCAGCTACCACAGTCAGCAACTGGCAGCTGCCACTCAGCAACTGGCAGCTGCCACTCAGCCACTGGCAGCTGCCAGTCAGCCACTGGCAGCTGCCACAGTCAGCAACTGGCAGCTGCCACTCAGCCACTGGCAGCTGCCACAGTCAGCAACTGGCAGCTGCCACTCAGCCACTGGCAGCTGCCAGTCAGCCACTGGCAGCTGCCAGTCACCCACTGGCAGCTGCCACAGTCAGCAACTGGCAGCTGCCACTCAGCCACTGGCAGCTGCCACTCAGCCACTGGCAGCTGCCACTCAGCCACTGGCAGCTGCCACAGTCAGCAACTGGCAGCTGCCACTCAGCCACTGGCAGCTGCCACAGTCAGCCACTGGCAGCTGCCACAGTCAGCCACTGGCAGCTGCCACACTCAGCCACTGGCAGCTGCCACAGTCATTCACTGGCAGCTGCCACTCAGCCACTGGCAGCTGCCACTCAGCCACTGGCAGCTGCCACACTCAGCCACTGGCAGCTGCACTGACTGGATGAGCGTCTGTAAGCTGCCAGTCGGATCACGGCCATTTGACTGGTTTAATCGGGACAACAGTACCCAAAACACCAATCATACACAAGAATAAAGGCATGACATTATATTCATAATAAGAAAACAATTTATTTCCTTTTAGCGAGAGTGTCAGGCAACGCGTTATATTCGCTGATCAGCAGCAGCTGGCTGGATGAGCGTCCAGCAAGCGTCTGCAAGCTGCCAGTCGGATCACGGCCATTTGACTGATTTAATCGCGACAACAGTACCCAAAACACCAATCATACACAAGAATAAAGGCATGACATTATATTCATAATAAGACATTTTTTTATTTCCTTTCAGCGAGAGTGTCAGCCACTGGCAGCTGCCACAGTCAGCAACTGGCAGCTGCCACTCAGGCACTGAGATCGCTGAGATGTGTGGAAATCGCGTCAGTGCGTGATGTAAAAAAAAATAATTAAAAAAAATTAAAAAACGAATTAAGACACAACACACGGTTAGAACAAGCATGCACAGTCTACATAGCTGATGTAAAAATACATAAAACAAAAATCATAGTAACGTTAGGCATATTAGTATTTATTGTTAGTATTTATCGCAAGTTAGTATTTATCGACGCAACAAGTAGGCATGTTGACGAGAAATTCTCCTTTAGCTGGTTTAAACTATGGTTACAGCACGATGGAATGAACTTTTCTGACCCTGACATGCGCGCTGCATTTTTTTCTGTGACGTCAACCGTGAAGGGGTCTATATCAACCACCATATCGGTAACCAGCTGATATATGGTAATTTTTAATATTATCGTTATCGGCCCAATACGAAAATGTTGCAGATATATTAAAGCCGATAAAGGATAAATGATTTCCTTCAGTTGAGACACTTCAGATGTACACTGTTCACCATGATGGCTTTAAATTGCTTCAAAAAGGAAAAAATATAATATATGCAACACATAAACGACATAATTGTGTACTTGGGACTTGGCTTTTGATGGTGAGACTTTTGTTTTTGTAATTAGGATCTCAAATATTATATAAAAAAGTTGGATTTATATTTATCGGCCTACATATTGGTTATCGGCTTTCAAATATAAAGAATTATCGGTATCTGCCAAAATTTTCATATCGGTTTCATATTTGATATTTGATTTGATATTCAAAAGTAATCAAAAAGTAATCCGATTATATTACCTAAAATGTGACACGTAATCGGTTACGCTAATAACTACAATTTTCATGATGTAATTTTTATTCAGTAATGGATTACAGTTTAACTGAAACGAGTGATCGAATAAGTTATCTTCTTATAACTTAAATTAAATATCTTTTTTTTCTCCCACGTCATGAGTGAGGCTTTGAAAAACCACTGTAACAATGTAACAGCCTCAGTTCCCATTTATTTTCTTTGTATGGAAAAAAGTAAGCAGGAACATTCTGCAAAATATCTTCATTTCTGTTTTATGAAGAAAGAAAGAATGTCATAGAGAAACGTAATTTTGTTTTTCAGTAAACTGTCTCTTTAAAACACTGCCCTTAATCGTAGACACAAGGCGGGGTGTGTGTCCGCTGCGGTCCAGGAATTTTTATAACACTGTGAAAAATATTAATATGAATATTAGAATGTGAAATGCACTGGTAAGTGTAGTGTTTACATCATTTGCATCTGCCTCATTCATACTCGAAGCTTGCGTATGTGTTGATTTGCCTCTATAGATTTCAGATGTGCCTTATTTAAATTTCTATTTAAATTTCAAGAGGTGTAAAATTATCCTCAGGTTAATATTTGTGAATATCATGTTGTTGTTTTTGTCAGTGTTCAGGTCTTGAATCTGTTTCATTCTTGAAATAATCACTTTTTTAAAGTGCCTTTTTGGTGGTGAGGTGTAGTGAAAATCTCAAAATGCTTTAAAAAAAGAAAATTGGTTGAACAGTGGAAAGCTGTTTATGTGTAATGTCTGTCATACTATTTTGCTTTTCGTCATTGCTGTACACAGAGCTCAGATTTTAGGGATACTTGAACTGGACCATGCTTATATGTCTAATTATCAAATTTATTTGTTTAATTATAATAATAATTAAAAAAAAAAAACTGAGTGAGAGTGTGTGTTATAATGCGAGTATATTACTGTTTTATATTCTGTTAATAATACCATCCCATTTTCTGGAAGAAAAATCTGTATAA